CATGCAAACACACAGACCAGAAACAATAAGCCAATGTTGGGATAAGCCTTTTTAGGAGAATCCTGTGCCTTAAAATAAGCTTAGACAAGTTGCAATACTCCATAATCAGATTTTTGCCACGCTTTTTGCCTGCTCTTTCTCAGAGGAATATCTCTTTTACACAGAAATTACTTTATTCAAAACAATACAGTCAAAGTATTTCCACCCCATCAATATGAATTCCCAATCAAACCTCTGTCTCCAGTTTAAGCAAAATAAAAATAAAACCACAACACAGCATTTAATTGTTTCTCACAGGTAACTAAGTCCCAGACATTCCCTTCCAGACCCAGCAGTTGGTGTGACAGAGACAGCCATCCCTAAAGGCCTGATTCTGTTCCCTGCTACAGCTTGGCTGCCTTCGCTGATTTGCTGGAGAATCAATTTATAAGAGCATTTTTCAATGTGCTCCTGACAAAAAGTCAGCAACATTAGTGTAGGTAACTTAAAAACCTTGCTCTAATTAGCCTGTTTGCAGCAAATCAGGGACTATTCATACAAATTACTCCAGTGGGTGACTGGCAGAGGCAGTGGCTGCCACTGGGGGCATGATAATAATTAGCTATGGGCAAAAACCACCAGTAAGGAGGGAGACAAATGCAACAATTAACTGTGTTGTATCCAATTCTACTAACAAACTACTGGATCTGGAAGAAGGCTGCTTGTCCTTGGCCTTCTGCAAAGGCTGGACCACTTCCTCCCTCTCAAGCACAGATACAGTTGACATTATGTTCATAAAACTCAGCGTCTGTATCATTTACACAACAGTATAAATGCTCAGGGAGAAGTTCATGCAACTCTATATACTCTTCACAGGTAAGTATTCATTATTGTCTACCTCAAAGAAACAGGAGTTAAGGACTACAGGTACACTGGAACAGATGGTGTGTATTCCTTTTTATGTACAATCATACATTCAAAATAATAAACATCACTCACCCCATTGCAAATTCATCTAGGTTTGTTTTGCCTAAAAGCACAGCTCCCTGATCCAGTAATTTCTGAACTACTGTAGCATTGTAAGGAGAAATATAACCTGAAAACAATCAGAACAGTTGAGTGATTTATGAGATACAAATTACTTTTACAAGTAGCTACTCTGAACATTTCAAAATTGTCATTACCTGTGCATAAGAATTGTCAGTTCACACTGGCAGAGTTTTGCTTCAAGGTAAAATGAATAATTTTCAAAATTTAACAAAAGTAAACCAAACACTGTTTAGTTTGCAACATCATTTCTTTTCCTCCACAAATTACAATCCAGTAATTCTGGATTATACGTCCCTAAAGTGTGGGGTAAGACTTCACATGAACAAGATGCCACAAGGGTAGCAAATTACTGCATTCAGCGAATTTGCAGGAACTGTCTAAAATGAGAAGAAATGAGAAACAGCTCTTTACAGGAAAGTGCTAAACCACCTTAAATTATCTCCCATTACCATGAGATAAAGGAGCATATTGTTGACCACAAGGTGAAATACTAACTGGCTATCCTATGTCCCCCCTTTGCCACTAAGACCCCACATAACATAGGACGAGAATCATGACAGGGACATGAGATCTCGGGTAATAACCAATTAATTTTGTGAATATTGACAGGGCTTTCTCCACCCCCACCTTCAACAGGAACAAGGACATCACTTCTAATACTCACGGCAATCAATCACAACAGGTCTGATAATGTGCTTTAATGAAAAGCATCTTAGGTAATATAACACTTTTTAAAATAGTCAAGTCATGCTTTGTTTCTTCTGCTACTAAAAACCCCATAATCAGATTAGGATTCTGCTGATTTACTTATGTTATCTTCCACAAAACTTTATAGAGTTTTACTTTGTGCAGAATAAAATAGATATAAGAAATATCTTCTACTTTTGTTTTTACAATAAAAAAACCTACTGTAATGCCTTGAAAATGTTTATGACATGTTAATCAAACAATGAGTTTAGGAAATTAAAACAAAGCATTATACAGCAGGTTTGTATGTCGGGATTGTTAATGTCTAGTCTTCCTACTGCCATATGAAAAAACTACTTGAGCCAACAATTATCAACAGAACATCAACAACAAAAAACGGACAGTCTTTGGATTTTGCTAGGCAGAACATTACTGACTGGTCTCCTCCGAACCTAAAAGTAATGTGAAGCAAAATGTGAATTTTAGAACAATTCTCTTTTAGTATATATGTTATAATAAAAACTGTTTTGTTAAAAGCATGTAACTAATAAATAAAGAGATAATGTGCTTAGAAGAAGAAAAAGATGCATCTGTGATACCAGATGAACTTGGCCACTGAAATTTGCTGTGTATTTCCTCAAATGAGTCCAGCTCATTTTTTAAAAATATTTAGATATCTGGAAGACTCCTCTCCATAAACCCTCTAAAGAGCAAGAGTTCTGAAATGAGATCTGATTTTACTTTAAAAGCTTTACTGTACCTCTCAGCATGTTTGATGCACATGTTGTCTCAATGCCAGCTGTATTAAAGTTGTCTTTTACTGCGATAGGAATTCCATCTAGAACACCCAGGGGCCGACCTGCATTAGGAACGATTGCAAAGACAACACGGATTAAAGCAAAGTGCACTATATATACAGCTTTCTCATCAATTACAGTTTGTTTTACATGTCCCTGTGGGTGGTTTTTGGAAGCAAGAATGCCATCCGCTTGACACTTGATGGTTGTCTGTTACGTTTCCAAGAACCATCTTCCATTCCAACTCCGGCATTGAGCATTCATTCTGCCCAGACCAGACCTGGCTCTGCAGATGTGTTTAAGAGCCCTGCAGATGTGCCTAAGCCCACAAGACAGGCAGCTGCTTCCATACAGGTTAGCTATCCCAAAGGTGTGCATAGCTCTTCCAGTGTGACCACGCAGGACTTATTTCAGCCATAGGTGCTGCTAAATCCATCACTAGGCTGGGAGCCATAAACTCTGCCTACCTGACATACACGGTAGATATCACCTAAAAAATTACTAAAGCAGAGGAGATCTTTCCTCAATGACTGATTATCAATCATCCAGAAAAAAAAATAAATTAAAAGGCCTATGTCAGGAAGCAAAACTTTATTGAGCTACTAGAGGGCACCAAGTGTCACCCAGGAAGGGAAAAAGTACCCTATGACGTGAAAATTTACCTTTCCTGTCTTTTTTGAAATGCAAAGCAAAATGTGGATGGTTAGCCTCTAAATGCTGCAGATAACAGAACTGAAAGCTGTTCTGTCCACCAGTTAATAACTGCAATTAACAAAGCTGCTTTATTTTAATTTGCCTTCTTAATTAAAAACCTGATTGGCCGAGCCAGGTGTTTGCCCCATCAACAGGCCTGCGAAGGACCACTGCATCTGCCTATTTGTGGTACCTGCTGCTGGTTATACATCCAAAATAAACTGCTGAGGGAAGAAGGAGGCACCCAGTAGCAGTGCTGTCAGAGAGGCACAGAGCCTGTTTAACGTGCAGTGCCTCATTTGGTCCAGGTTTTGCCTCCCATTTCTGAACTAAATACTCTCCTGAGTGCCAGGTGTACACTCAAACAAACCTCAACCACAACCCTCATTCCCCAATAGCCAAACAAGCAGCGCAGACAGAGAAAAGATGCTTCATCTAACACAAAGAGCTCCTCTGCGGCCCCCTTTTAAGGGCTGATAGGAGTTATAAACAGACACACCTCTTTTGTATCTTTCCTCTGATGCTTCAGCCTGCTTCAAAGCGGTTTCTTCTGCTATGGTAATATAGGCATTAAGAAACTTGGTGCTTTTGATGAGCGACAGGCACTGCTGGCAGAGCTCCGTGGGAGAGACACGTCCTTCCTTCAACGCCGCTGACACCTGAAAGCATCACCGAAAATAGTCAGGAAGAAAGAAAACCCTCCAACACCACCTCTTACGTGTTAGTGAGCCATGCACTTCTTTATTCTGGCCAGAGAGATGTAGTGGATCATCTCAGCCACATATGACCCTTTCAAGACTATTCACCTGTATTTATACACTTTAGCAAAAAAAAGAAATGAACGTTCATTGGTTCTAAAATACATAATTCTCTTAATTTAATTAGTATTCTACCCTTTACTGGCTAATTTGGTCCATATTCTTTACTTCTCTTATCATTCTCGCTTAAGACAGAGAGTCGCCAACTTTCAGGTTATAATGCCTTTCTTAATCCTCTCTGTGTCTTCTGGTTACTCCAACATGTCTTTGAAGGACCATAAATTTAAGATCCCAGATGACTAACCTTCAACTCCCTCAAGCTTTGTTTACTGAAGCGTATCAGAGCTAGTCCAGAGAAACTCAAAGCTTCGGTGATTTAAGGATCAAACCGACAACACTGGGTAAAGGGGGGAAAAAAAAAAAAAAAAGGAACCTAGCTACTTGCTACCACTAATTAATATTTTAGGAATGTTACGTAATTTCCAACAAAAGCACAACCCCCCCTTTCAAGGCAGACAGGTGACAGAGGCAGCGCCGGGGCGGTACGGGTGTGAGAAACAGTCTCTAAATATTCCCAATTTGTGAGGATAAAGCGCGATCCCCGCGGAGGGAAGGTGCCCACGGGAAGTGCTCCCAAGGGACCCGCCGTGGCTGAATCCCCGCCGCTGCGGAGAGCGGAGGCGCGGGGGGACCCCGGTCACCTTGCGAGCCTGCCCCACTCCTCGGCACCCCCTCCCCGCGCCTCGGAACTCCCTTCCCCCCTCCCTCGGGCGGCCTGACCCCCCTCACCTGGCGGAGAGAGGAGCGCAACATGACTGCCCGTGTCCCGCCGCCTCCTCACGCCCGCCCGGCAGCCGCCATCACTCCGTCCCCGGCGCGCCGGCCGCACGCCGCCATGTTGCCGCAACACGCAGCGGCGCCATTGGCAGGGCTGCCAAGAAGGCGGCCGCCCATTGGCTGCGGTGCCGGCGGGGCTGAGCGCGGAGGCGAGCGGGAGAGGAGCCTCCCGGTCCCCCTGCCCGTCCCGGTCCCCCTGCCAGTCCCGGTCCCCCTGCCCGTCCCAGTCCCGGTCCCATCCCGGCTGCCCCGGTCATGCTGTCGCGGGGGCCGGCAGGCTGGCGGGCGCTGCGCTGGGCGGGCGGGCGGCCGCGGGCCCGTGGGCTCCGCGCCTCTCCGCGGTCTCGGAGCGCCATGCCCAGCTGGGTCATAGACCGGTACGGCAGCAACGAGGTGCTGCGCTTCACCAGGGAGATGGTGTTCCCCATCATACACTTCCCGAACGAGGTCATCATTAGGGTTCACGCTGCCAGCCTGAACCCCATCGACCTTAGCATGAGAAGTAAGTGGCGAGCCCGGGCGGCCTTGGCCGGGCTGCGGCTCCCGTGGCCCCCGGTGCCCGGCGTGGTACCTGGGCACCGTCGTGCCCCGGCACACACCCGTCCGGACAGGGTCCGGGGGCTACCTCAAGGCACGTGTTGCACTGCGCCCCGTGGGACACCGCCGCCTCTTGGACACTTAACTTTTGTCAGGTTCTCAGGGAAGAACGGTACGAAAAGGTTTTTTATAAGCTCTTAGGGAAGAACGATACAAAAAGCCGCTGACGGGAGCGTTGTGTGTTGCCGGGGTAAGCTTTTAATCGAGTGGCCAGCTGCGATGTCGCGCAGGGTTGCGCCTCACGAGCCATTATCCTGCTGTCAGTAGCATAAGCGTGGTGGGATTTTCTCTCCCGGTCTCCTCCCCTCTCCCCACCGACTGGGTGGTGCTACTCTCCTGGCCAGGAGACTTGCCTGTCCAGGGACCAGCGTTCTCCCTGAGAGGAGCTGGATTTTCCCATCTCTTTGAGGTGAACGAGGTCTGAAGGTCAAAGTTGGTGTTAAGTCAGCACCTGCGACCTACTACTGTCCCCCTGCTGTTTATTGCCGTGCGCACCCTGAACTGGCATCTGAGTACCTGCTGTCATCTCGCCTGGGAAATCTGTATCTTTCCCTGTCCAGCTCTTTGTATTTGAAACATTTAATCGGATTTTTTTCCCCGCAATTTCAAGGTTCAAAACAGGAGAAGGAAGTTGTGGTAGTGGAATACCTTATATTTATTTCATGTTGAGAAGTGATCTTACATATCAAGTCAGATTCAGTAGAGTATGCAAATATATCCGCAGGAAGCCTGCTGACAGAGCTGTAATCTGTGTTTTGGGTCTCTAATAAATGAATCCAAAAAAGTCTTTGTTTATAGTTGGGGCTTTGATTATGGGACATTTGCCACCTGAGGATTTCTGTTAAATGACCCACTTGAACTGCTGGGCTGCAAGTAGTATTTTGAGTCAGTTATAAAAGTATTAGAAAGAAATCATGTTTTCATCCTTCTTTTAAGCTGCCTGCTTTTGTGCTTGTTTCTCTTCAGTATAAAGATGCTTTTTGTCATGATAGGGCACCTAGGCAGACCTGTCCACTTACTTGAATGGGCATATGTGCCTGAATGCACACTTTTTTTAGGCTGACCAGTTATTAGATGGGTAATTCTGAGACTTCAGAGCATTTACATGTTACTTACTGAATAGAAGTTCAGGTTACTCATCTTAGGAGATGTGCCATAGTATTTTTTAAAGTGGTGTTCATGTTGCTTTTTATGGTACTTTATTTGGAAAGACAGGTGGAAAGCTTGGAGTTCTTTTGGATTTCTGGCTACATGATGCTGTTGGAAAATAGGCCATTTCCAGCATTTTAAGTGGACTTAGAATTTCTGACAGTGTTATCCCATGCTAAATATTTTTATAATGGAGAGCCATCTCTTGGATAAATAAGCTAGAATGAGGTTTGCTCTTTATTTGTAAAATCTGTAGAAGTACAAAATATTGCCGATTTTTTGCATGCTTGAGTTATAACAGAATTGAGGCACATTTTGTACAGACAATTCTTTCTAATTGGAACTGTCCAGTTAATAAAAGAAAACTCAGCATGGTATGTCATGGTTAATTTCATGTTTTGCAGGTGGTTATGGTGCAACTGCCTTAAATATGAAGCGGGATCCCCTGAAACTGAAAACCGATGAGACTGAATTTCCGCTAACACTCGGTCGAGATGTCTCTGGTGTTGTTATGGAATGTGGACTGAGTGTGTCTTATTTCAAACCTGGAGATGAGGTGATACTACCAATCTCTTTTTTTTTTTTTTTTTTCTAACATGTATAGTTAAAATATGCTATAAGATGTTCAACTTTCATTTTCCTTTTAATTTTTTTAATTTTGTTGCACTCTTAATGAGGCCCATCTGGCAGTAAATTCCTAGAATACTTTCTTCCCTTCATTTTTTGTCTGAAAAAATGTGGTCTTTCAAAGACTTGCTTCTGCAAGTTAATTACCCTTCTGGTTTTTTAGGTTTTGACCCATTCCAGTGGTAACAAGAGTGGAATTTATTTATTTTTAAGTGCACACTCAAAATATTGCTTCCTTTTTGACTGAAGATAGAATTCTGACAGGAAGGAATTAGTTGTTTAGTTTTTATCATGAGTAATTTAGGATAAGAACTTTGGCTTAACTCAAGAACCACTTCATGGGCCCCGACATAAATACTTGATACTATTTGCTTTCGCCTTCACCAGTTGCTTTCACATTTCAGCAGTTTTAGTATAGCAAATTCTGAATCTGCACCACCCCTACCCCTCTAATCTGGGCTTTCCTGGTATGGGAGTAGTTTGGGGGTTCTGGAAAATTGTGTGTTACACATAGTGCAAGGGTACAATCACACAGTCATCAATTTTGTGATGGTTAAGCTAAAACTGGTTTCTGATAAACAATGAAGACATTCTGCAAATCAAAAAAAAGATATTTTTAAGGAAGGAAGCTTTTCTGTGTACATACAATCGTGTGCAAAGTTAAAAAAATTGATAGTTGTTTTCTGTTTGGTTTTAGGTGTGGGCAGCAATTCCTCCATGGAAACAAGGCACTCTGTCAGAGTTTGTGGTAGCTAGTGGAAACGAGGTAAACTTAAAAAACTGTGGCTAACAGACAAAACCCCAAAGTTGTAAAGACTGGCATTTCTCTTCTTGAGTGTTTAAGTAACTGTACATTTCTTAGTGCTTGGATTCATTTGTACTCCAGTTAGTTATGAAGATGGTTGAAAAAGTGCAATACACAATCTGCAATTCAGTAAAGCTTGCTGAAATATTTCAATGTCACAGTGGATTTGCTGTGTGACTTACATATGGTTTTATTTCAGGTGTCTTTTAAGCCAAAGTGTCTCAGTCACATAGAAGCTGCTGCCTTACCATATGTTGGTCTCACTGCATGGTCTGCACTTAACCAAGTAGGAGGACTGAACAAAAGTAATTGTAGTGGCAAAAGGTAAGTAAATGATTTTGGTGCTAAAACTAAAGTTGTTCATTTTTATATTGATGAGCTGCTTCTAAAACATGTCCAGCAGTGAAGACTGTAACAGTGAAGACTTTTACACCATGACATTCACAAAGACTGATGCCTGAAGATGTTAGTTCAATCTACACAGCTGCTGAGAGAGGCTTCTTTAAGGGAGGCTCAGGTGAGGTCCATAACTGAAGAGTGTACCGAGTTGCTTTCTGCTCACTTCCTCTATATAGTGACTGTACAAAGGCAGAAAATAACCAGAAAAGTTGAGGATGCCCCATTCCTGGAAGCATGTAAGGCCAGGTTGGATGGAGCTCTGGGCAACCTGGTCTAGTGAAAGGTGTCCTGTCTGCAGCAGGGGGTTGGTTTGGAACTACGTGTTCTTTGAGGTCCCTTCCAACCCAGGCCATTCTATGATAATCCAATGTATATCTACTATATAGAGAATTTAAGGAAGTTATCTCTAGAAACTTATAGGGACTTTGCCTTTCTGTTTGCCTGTCCTGTTGGAACAGTTAGCCAAATGTAATATCCTCTCAGTTATTTGACAACTCAAAAAAAACCCTCTCAAGCACAGAGATATAGTTCCCTCACTTCCTGCATGCGTGGGCCATTTGGAACAGACTGGTTTTCCAGCATTTTAGAGGAAAATGAGGAGGTGACCAAGTCTTATTTGACCTGCAGGCCAGAACTTTGATGGAGTCAGGAATGCAGACAAGAAGGGGAGAACGTGCAAGACAAGCAGCCAATCAAATAGAAAAATTGGCTTTGTTTATCAGCCTGTTAATCTGACAGTGGCAGATGAGGAAAAATGCATTGAAAGATTTGAGCAAATATCATTTTTCTTCTGATAATTGAACTTTGCAGTTATTTTGACCTTTAGATGTTTGAGTAAATAGATAGCAAGACCTTCAGAATGGAAATAAGGGCAGAAGTAAAAATACTGGAGTTGGAAAAATAATAATTAAACTTACTATGTTGCACCAAAACTTTGGGTCATAAAGCAATTATTGGGCAGTAGGAGTCTAGATGCCTGACCTCCTCTTATCTTGGCTGATACTTTGTAATGCAACACATTGGAAAGGACACCAGATCTACTGAAATTCTTCACTCACATCTTTAGAAGATAATCAAGTGAGTGGTCATTCATATGTCACAGTAAATTTCATCATCAAAATACTAAGCAATTGTTTGTTCTAGAGATAAAGAATATTTTGAGAAAATTAAGTTGCAAAATTTAAAGGAGTTTCAAAGAGACGTCATTGAAATTTACTTCCAGCTACTACTAAAATTCTAGATAATGTTGCCTTTTTATTTTTCAGTATCTAGATTTTTTTATCTCAACTTCTACATGTAAATAGAATTAATCTAAAGATATGTTGATAGGCTAACCTTGTTTAAAGTGTCTTTCCAATCTTCAAGTAAGTGTTCAGATTGTTAAAAGTAAAATTCAAACTGCATTTATAAAGTGTCTTTACATTTAATATTTACTTTTATGTTCCAAATAAATATTTAATTACTCTGTCAGAAAAAAATTAATGTACTTATAAAATATTATATTTCCTACCTAGACATTTTGAACTGTAAAACCAACAGCAAATAACTTATGTGATGGTACTTTTTTCTTCTGAAAAATTTTGTATATAAAGTGCATTGAAGGGGCTGTGCAAAATTGTATTCCTGAACTCTCAAGACAATAATTTAAAAATACAAGACTTTATGTAGTGTTTCTTGATCCCTTTAAATAATATATTTGGTAAGGAGTTACCTACATATGTGATTTTATGTTGGTCTTTTTGTCTCCTGCAGGTGTATGTAAATAGCTATGTAGAAGGGTGTGTGCACACACAAGAGTGTGTCTTATTTTGACAGAGCAGCTGTATTCCTTGATGAAAGTTACTTCACTGATACTTTATTGCAGTGTTAAGACATCTTAAAAAGAGTGAGATTTTTCTTCTGGTGTGTATTTTTCTGCTGGTGTGTTTTCCTCGCCTCTTTTAAGGTAGAAGGGTGGGCTAACAGTCCAACATCTGACTGTACTTTGATCTGCCAGGAATATCTGCTGCATTTGCACACCTTTTCACAGATTTTTTTTTTTAAACGAGTTACCTGAAGTGTGCTCACATTGTTTGTGAAGCCTCCTGCTTCACTATAATTCCAGTCATCTCTCCATAACTTTTATTTTCTCTGACTGTAATTAGTGTCAATATTCTTGTATGAGCTCAAAGTGAATGTTCATACCATCCTAAATGTTCAAAATTACTCTGTTGTGTCAATGTTTGCTGTGAATACCTGGAGAGCTTCTTCAACACTAACTGTTAAATGTCTTGCTTGCTGTATTCACAAAATACATGATAAAAACAAACCTAACAGTTTGAGAAGTTCTTCAAAGTGCTTACATTACTGTTAAGGAAAGGTCTTTATATAAACACAGAGGCAACATTTTATACTTTTTAGTATGCTGAGGAGAGATGTTGGATTCTCTTGCTGTAAGCTATTAAACATACACTCCTGATTTATACTGTTACTATGAAAATTTGAATGGTATAATACCCCAAGAAAATATTTTTTTCCATGTTTGCGTGTCATTCTGTTATTTTATCTGTTGAGAAATACAAATTGAGTGTAAGTTGTAAAAATTCCTGATAGGGTAAACACTTCTTGATCCAGGCATAAATCTCTTGGGGACATTTTGTTGGCATAATTAAATGAATTTTAATTTTATATCTAAACAAAATTGATATATTTATTCAATGAGTGCATTAATTTTATGCCAATATAAAATTTATGTGTTCAATAAATATATTAATTTTTATTTTGCATGTACCCATGTCATTGAAAATTGTTAGTTGTTTATAATCCAGAGAAAATGTTAGTCCTTGATCTGTACACCCACTCCTCACCCTCTGTGTTTTGGTGGGGGCCACACACAGCTGAAACAGGTCCTGGCTCTCTGATGCTGGTTTCTGATCACACCATAGTTTCAAGCAGGGCCCGGGGAGAAGGGCTAAACTCTCAAATCTCATGGTATGCTTATCTAGAGAGATCTGCTGACTCCCTGATCATTTGAACTGTTAGAGCCTCATATGGGACTTGGTGAATGTTTTGTCTCTGTCAGAAGGGAGGAAAGCCTGGGGTGTGAATGTTCATTTTGTTCTTTTGAGAGAATTGGTTCTTGTGGATCTCTGTAGGATCAAATGATTTGTTAGTTTGTTCCCTTGTACACATACTATATTAATTTACTCCTAGCTCCCCTTTGCAGTGAAAACAGGTAGTTTCTATGATATTTTTTCTCCTTTCTGTATTTTCCTGAGGCAGTGCAAACAAAGCTGTTCCTGCTTTGGCACTTGCCAACATCTGCTGTCCTTCAGTAGCGTCCTAACAGGTCCTGCACCTTCAAACACTTCCTTGTTTGTGTTTTGCCAAACAGAGTGTCTTGCTGTCATCAGGGCTGTAAAAATGCTGATCTGTTGAGGTGTGGCACATGGATCTTCTGCGCAGACATAGTTTGCCTCTGAAATGAAGAGCTTTCTTGAAGTCACAATGTGTTTTAATAATTAGAGGTTTGGTAGAAAATAGCCCCCGTAACATAGGAACAAACTGAATCTGGGAAGTATTTCTACCTAAAGAGTCTCGAGGGCTTTTATTGAAGGGGAAAATAAAAAAAAAGTCCCAGCCAAGCAGCTCCTCAAACTGAAAATGTTACCTAAATCCTTTGAGCAAAATACACATTTTAAGATGACAACTTTCCCCAAAATGTGTAGTGGAAGAAATGCCTTTTAAGCAAGGGGTAAAATTGTAAGGGAGACTTGAAAAGGTTATTTTGAAAGGATTTAATTGTGACTGTCCTTTTTAAGGATAAAGATGGGCTTAACCCAGTATCTTGAGTGTAGCATCCTTGAGCCTTTTCAAGTATAATAAAGTAAAAATATGCATGTTGCTTCAGGCATCTGTCGTTAGAAGCCTAGTTCTGAGGATGAGTACACTGTGGCAGATTTAAAAGCTTCAGGCATGGTTTCATATTCTTAATCTGAATTTTGCAGCTTTAATCAGTGAAATGGGAGGGAACAGAATTTGATCAGTTACAAAACAGGAAGCATTTTAAAATGGATACTGTGACCAAAGCCAAGTCTCTTAGGTTACTTCAAAGAATTTTTGTAAACTGAGACTCTAGATTGTGTAGTACAGTTTTGTAGTGTAAAAAGCAATTTCGTTCAACATCCAGCACACTGACATTTAAAACAGGAATGTTTTAGACCATCTTCTGAAGATTCTGAAATTTTCCTGGCAAACAGAAGTTGTGAGAAACATGATTGCCAATCCTATGCCAGGACTTCATCTTGAATCTTCCTTTTGTTCTAGAATCAGCAAATAGGCCCAGAGTCCAAGCAGTGTTTGTAACTTGAGCTGCAAGGTTTTCTACTAATTCATTTTTTAATGGTTAGTTACTTAATAAAATATCTGCATGAAATTTTTGAACAGGCTGCTAGCAGTAAGGTTCTCACTTAAGCATTAATTTCTTCTTAAATTTAGACTGATATATTCAGTTAAAATGAACTCTCAATTGCTAGTAATTTGGTAATATATTCTTTCATTTTCTTGCTCGTGTGCCAGTTATCTGGCATTCACAGTTTTTGTTGAGATGTACTGAACAAGAAAAATTCTCCTGCCTTTTTTGTAAAGAAAAAGACAGCTATCTTAATGTAATAGAAATCAAGCTTGTTCATGGCGAGGGTACTTCATTGTATTTTTGTCTTTTAGAGAAATATTATGCGGTATGGGAAAATTATATTCCATGTATTCTGAAGTTCACAGTCTCCTTAAACAATGTGATATTACACTATTTTTTCTCTTAGATAAGACCAATTTGTGTAAAAAGTTGGTGAATCAGATTTTTTTTTCTTTAGGAGATAGGACAGCAGAGTCTGAGAGACAGAATACATTCTTAACTGACTTTGTCCCAAACTAAACAATGATGTTTGGGAAAGTGAGGACAGGTACAGGGGTTTTGGGTAATAAATGTTACTGCCTGACAGCTCCACTGCCTGCATTTAGTGAAAAGCACATATGAGGAAGTCTCTTTGGCTATGCTGAGATAATGCTTTTGACACAGGACATATGATCAGCAATGTTAAGGAACATTATTGGCTATCTGAAGAGTTAACCACTCTTGAATAACATTGAATGACAAATGCAGTCTTTTGCTGAAAGTATTTTGATGTCAGAGATGTATAAGGAGCATTAGAATACATAGTTACTGTAGAGTTTATTTAAAAAACTGTTTAATATATTTTAATTTTCTCTTACAGAGTATTAATATTAGGAGCTTCAGGAGGAGTTGGTACATTTGCTGTACAGGTAATATAAAGCAGCATGGCCAGGATGCATCTTCAAACAATTAAGTATGGAGAAAAAAAAAAAGTAACAGAAGGGAATTGAGAGAAGGAGTAGAAAAATATCAAGCTACTGATTAATCTATCTGATCGAGCTGATTAATATTTCCAAAAGTGAAATATTTTCAGATTTATTGCTTTCCATCTGTTATATTGTATTAGTTTGAAGTAGGAAGCAGGGACTTTCGGAGAAAGGAATTGTGTCTAACATTGCATTTTACAATTTGGGTGCAGAAAACCTCTGATTGTTGTAACTTGAAATATTTAGCCTGCTCTTATTACCTTTCACTCAGCTCTGCTCTATAATTACAAACAGAACTTGGTGTATGAGTAGAAAAACTTATGGAGTATCATCTACCGTAACTTATAGTTGGTCAAATGATGTGGGAGGCCACCAGGCTTCTATGTGCAGTGTATCTAAAGTGCCGTGGCTTAGATTAACTTTCCCTCACTGTCTTTGCCCTGCTGCCCTTTTGTCTGTCTATTCCAGTAGCTCTAAACTTTGGAGAGTCAACATGCTCTTTTGTTGATCCATTAGTTGTAGAACATCCTCTTTTCATGCTCTTGGTTAATTTGGGTATTTTGATTCTAATCGCTGTCGTCTCATGCTGAAACATCTTTCTCTCAAGAATATGAAAAAATACCAGTAGTTGGGTGATTTCATCGCTGTGTTCCATGCTACTAGGCCATAAACACAGTGATTTTAAAGAGGCTTACAGGAGAAGTTTTTATGGTATGCTGTTTGCCTCATCCATGATAAAGTAGGTGAATATCTTCAGTACAAAAGGTTGACCAGCCACTGAGTAGTTACAATTTGTAACTGATTAATCCTGGTTAAAGTACATTAATTAATCTGGAATAAGGGTAAAAAATATTAGTGTGAATGAAAAAATGAAATGCCAAAAGAGAGAAATAACTACCAGAAATCCTTTACTTTGCTTTAGCTTTTGGAGTATAAGGTAACCTGATGTTGTCCCTGTGGTAAATCAGAGATGACTTTTTTGTATTTAACTTATTTCTTGTTTTTTGTATTTAACCTATTTACAGTAAGATAGATATATGAAACACTTAAAGGGCATATTTAAAAATATTCAGTGGTTGATCTGGTGTCAGTTTTGTAGATTGGCAACTTGGACAGTACCTCTTAGTGTACATTTAGCTGGCAGATTCAGATTGCAAACTGAGTATTTCATTTGGAGCCTTATTTGTTGTGAGACCTGGTATCTTTAAGGGGCATTAAAAAATCCACCCTTTCTTCTTCATACCAACTCCTCCCATCCCAAAACCATCTTAAATATTGATAAATTCTAGTCATTATTTTGTCTGCTGGATGTGTGACAGATTATCCTATACTGGAACACAGTCTCCCACTCCCTATTAAAGGTCCTCATTTGTTATATAAATATAATGAGACTTTGGCTTTTTAAGTTGTTCTCAATGTTTCACAAAATTTTAATCTTTGGATTTCTCCTTTTTTTCATACTTGTTTTTAGCTAGTGAAGGCCTGGGGTGCTCACGTGACAGCTGTTTGTTCTCATGATGCCAGCACCCTGGTGAAAAAGCTTGGAGCAGATGATGTGATTGATTACAAATCTGGAAATCTGGAAGAGCAGCTTAAAACATTACCCTTGTACGTGTTTGTGTTGCTTAATACTGAGATGAAGGAGTTAGTGGTCAGACTGTCTGTCTTTTGATTGCTTGACTCCAGTCTATCAGAACTCCCTCATTTTTATTTTTCTTTTCCCATTTCTAAAGCATTATTTTGTAAAGCAAATTCACCACAACCCTTTGTGAATGCAATTTGCCAAGTGAGTATCCCCAGCACAGATTTCATTGTAAGACTAAGCCAGTTAATTGGGCTTGTGGTGGCAAGCTCATTTCCACGTGCTTCTCTTCAATAACTGGGATTCGAACAGTTCTGTCAGCTTCCATCCAAGGATCTTGGAGCATATGCAATGCATGAATAAATTAAAATAGGTTTCCAAAATCCTGTGTGAGGTTGGTAAATAGTAAAAGTGATCTTGTAGAGAAATGTGTTGTGAAGCAGTGAGTTGACTTGCCACTGTACAGCTCAACTGGGAGTAAATTTCTCTTCTTGAACATTGGGTACAGCTGCCTCTGATAAACAATTACACTTATCTTGTCACAGCAGTTATGTTTAAACTAACTTGGGAATTTTCTCTAGAACAGAAGTATTTTTTGCTTTTGTAATCTTTCTATCTGTTTAAACTTAGTCTACTGTGACTTGTATTTGAATGTGGTATTTATACTGCTGTTTTTAGGTAGATTGAGGTAACTTTCTGGGAGGGGAAATAGAAGCTGCTTAATCTCTGAAAGAATTTTACTGATAACTCTGCTAAGAAGCCATGTGCCCTTCCAATGCAGTGTGATGGATTGTCAGCAAGCCTGAGGGCAACTGCGAGGGTACTGACTCTGTATGGGCAGGACATGCAGCAACTGACTTCGCAGTTTACAATCAGGGCTAAATTTGCCTTTTTGCAATTCAACACTTCAATGCTAAACACTCATTCTAGCAAGTGACCCTTGTTAAGAGATATCAGCAGCAGTGTCCTAGGGTGCAGTTCTATGATACAACTAGGCTGATCAGTCAGCTATACTGAGAGGGATGTTCCTACTTCCCTCCCCTTCTCAGTTGTACTGACTCTTCAGAACCCATAATGAACTACTCTTTAGAGGAGCATTAGTTTTCATTATCTGTTCCTGTTAGCAGCTGTTACATTGACTACACTCTAAAGATGAAATCACATCCTTGGAAGATGAGGCAGGAAAACTGCCATTCCAGACATAGGAACTTTCCTATTTAATTTGCATAAAGTATTTTCCCTCTTATTTGTAGGTTATTTGGATTAGAGGTATGCATATATACAAAGCTATTGCCATATGCAGATTGCCGGAAGTTTACAGATGAAAATGGGAATGAGTTATGCATCTGACAGAACAGGTGCATAGCTCCCTGTTGCCCTATTCAGCCTTTACAGGCTGACATGCTGGGATAATGAGAAGGAATGCTGAACTTGGCTTGTGGCCAGAGGCTGCATATACCCATTCCATGGGGGGAAGGTTTTAGACCTGTTGCATTGTTAGGTTCAATGTTAAATAGGTAGATGTGAATGAAAGAACTGCCAGGAGAGGTAAAATGGCCCCCAAACAAATAAGGAGGTTAAAAAAAAGACTTTTAGAAGTGAAGCTGAGAATTGGGTCACATCTGAGAACTGGATGAGGAGATAAGGTTTAGTAGAATAATTTGTTTATGTAATTTTAGCCACTGGAACTGACTTTCATGTGAGTACACGTGATGTACAAGAGATGTTCCTAGTGAGGGCATGAGTCCAGACTAGTTTTTACATGCACATACCATATTGCTCAGTGCTAGGACCAGACCTCAAGAGTGTTCCAGTAGCTTCTGTGGGAGGGCTGAAGAGATAGAGCTCTAGAAGGCTTTAAGCAAGTAGAGAGTGTAGTTGTGCATCTATGTCTGCTTTTTGGAGTTTAAGTGCAGTTTAAGTTATTTAAATAGTCTGTATCTGCTACATGTGGATGGGCAATAGTAAGTTTAAATCCCATTGTACACTAAAGAGGGGATTTAGCTGAAGTCTTGGGACTTTCTTGCTACTGTCTTGCAGGCTGATTATTTTTTTGCATTGCAGTGACACGTAAAAATGTGAAGTGTAGCAAATTTCTGCTATTAATTAGCTTAATTATGGTGAAATTATTTTTTCCATATCATAACTTTAAACCTGTTCTTTATGTCTGCAGGTTTGATTTTATCCTAGATAATGTTGGTGGATCCACTGAGAAGTGGGCATTAGATCTCTTGAAGAAGTGGTCAGGAGCAACATATGTTACCTTAGTGACACCTTTCCTGATCAATATGGACAAACTTGGAGTGGCTGATGGCATGTTACAAACAGGAGTCACTGTTGGTTCCAAAACTCTAAAGGTATTTGACAAAATCCTATATACTTTCATGTTTTGTAGTACTCTAGTAACTTGTTTTGTGGCTTGGATGCTAGTCATGTGGCTCATGTAGAGGCAGCTGGTGCATTGTCCTCATATGTCATTAAGTATACTTGAGATGCACTGTTATTCTTTCCTTCTTGCTTGCACTGAAAAGAAATGTGGTGGGCTGGTGCTGTTGGGTGTATGTGGTAGTCTAGGGAGCTTTGAAGTTTTGATTCCTTATTGTGCTTTCCACTGTGGCCTTTTCCATATGGCCTCCCTAGTGAGTCCTGCTGACAGCCAGTGTTTCATAGTAAACAGAGCAAATCTCTGCCTCATTGAGATGAGGGCAGTTTTGCTACTTGCTTTGGGCTGGTCAGGCTTTCTCTCAAAACATTGTTCCATGACTAATTCTCTTCATCCTATTCCAGCACCAGAGAGAAATAAAAGTGGTTGAGGGTGGCTAGGAAGTCTTTCATCTCTTTCATGTTAATGTGTCTGGATGGTGATACTGATTTTTCTAGTTTTCATAAGTGGATCTTAAAACATTCTGCCAGTGGGGCATTCTGATCAGTGGAGCTTTTTAGAACTTTTTCTTCTCTCCACTTGTGTAGTTGCTCTTCAGATGAATGCTTTTGAAGCAGTTGCTATGGTATTCCTGGGATGACTTGGCTTAATGAGATTCTAAGTCCTGCACAAATACTTTCACAGTAAAGCCCAGAAACAAAATAAAAAGGCATTGAAGAAATAATGTAATATATTTCTTAGTGTGCATATTTTAGTGATGAGGAGGATTCTATGCTGTGTATTAAAAATCATCTCTCTTTAGCAGATGATGGCTCTTATTTATTAATGACTAATGACAGAAGAGGTGCTCTTGACTTGTGCTTCTGAGATCTTCCCAAAATGTTTTTCATGTGAGCTGCCATCTGTCGTTGGGCAGTGATGATTTTGGCAGATATGACAGTGGAAAAATATAATCACTAACACTGAAGTGGAAGGTCCTAATGCCACATTGCTGGGATTATTTCACCCCCTTTGTGAGTGTGCATAAACATATAGCACCATTTCTTTCTTATGTAACACATGATGCTGTTTCTAGTTGTAGAGACTAAGTAGCTGTTTTTCTTTACTAGCTGACTTGTGCAGCTGGACACAAGATTTGTCCTGTTCCTGTTGTGGTAACAAAACATCCCAGTCTGCACATTTAATCCACATGCTTAGGTGACCTTTTTTTCAGACATTAACAAATGTCCATGTCTTTTCCTTAATTTACTTCTCTAGAGATTCTGTCATTAATTTTAGTTCCCATTTCAGTTTGCTCTCATGATTTGTTAATATATTTGTGATCTTTCTTGCAGCATCTTCTTAAAGGAGTCCATTATCGGTGGGCATTTTTCATGCCAAGTGGCCCAAGTTTGGATGAAATAGCAGAACTAGTTGATTCTGGAAAGGTATGTCAGTAACACTTATTTGGATATTTATGCTGAAAGAGATGCTGCTTGGACTCTGAAATGATGTAGTTCACTATTGGGGAATAAAATTTTATGAGACTCACAGTGAGGAAAACTAGTTAATAATCAACCTGCTACAGTTTCTGACTTCTGTCTTTTGCATCAAATTTAGGAGTTCATAATCCTTAAGACTGTTCTGCCTTCTCCTTTTGAGCATATGTTTTCAAAAACACAAAGCTTACAAAATTATAAGGAAGTAATGTCCAGTGAATGTTTATTTTTGCCAGTGGGAATCATTTAGCGTGAACTCTGTCTGGTATTGAAAATTAAGTTTTAGGAGGTCTCATTTGGTTCATTTGGTCAGAATAAATATGACTGTGTACCTGCATATGCAGAATTGCTTAGCCTGGATGGTCAGGCATTGTGTGCATTGTGTGCACAGAACTAGAATATTCTGGTTATTGCAAGTCAGAGATGATCTGCATTGGTAGAGCGGTGACAAAAATCTTGTGTTTCCTTATTTCGGTCCTTCAGAGTATGAGGTTTGTGCTAATTCAGCACAGTGAATATTGTGAGCGTTCATAAGCTTCCAGGGAATTCTAGTGGACTTGGGGGAAAAGCACCAAGTGCCAGATAGATTATGGTCTGCTTTTATGGCCTTTTCAGCTTGTTGCAAAATGTATGTGGGAGTGAACAGTTGATTTCCTGTCTTTTGGATTGTGTGATGCTGTAGATTCTGGCAGTGCCCTCTTTGGGAATTTCGGCAACGTGAAATTATCCAAGAATAGAGAATATGGAATACTGCTGTTAATCTTTCTATGCAGTACCTAAGGAGAAGAGTGAGCAGAGTCTGCCATGACTGCTGGTAATTCCAGTCTGTGAACTGCCAGGACATCTTGTGCTCAAAATTTGTCAATATTAGTAAAATTTAGATCTCTCAAAGTTTTGAGTGTTGATCCCTTTTTTTTTTTTTCGGTATGCAATATGTTCCAGAGTTTGGAGAAAAGGAAAGAAACTGCTGCCGTACTTTAGACCTGATTGCCTCTATTTGCCACCTTAGTGCTGCTACTGCTAAGAATAAAAACCTTCCTGAATTCAGTCACTTCTATTCCTCTGTCATGAACAGTGTGCTGCTGAAACGGCGAGTGGAAAGTCACTATTTCCTAAAAACTTACCTACTCATAAACAGAGGCCACAGCCACAAATAAGCTGTGGGGAAGTATGTTCCCAGCTACAGCTTTTCAGCTCTCTGCTTTGCATTATGTCCAATGCTGTAGGCATTATCCTATGGCCAAGAAAGAAACCATAGAAGATGATTCTCATGCTGTGATTGCACTCAGTCACACTAAGAAAAAGAAATGCCCTTGTCTTTGTTCTTACCATTTGTCCTGATCCTCAGCTCAGTCACAACTTGTTTTGTGTTCTGCTTTTACCTTGTATGCAAAACAAATGCAGAATATGCCCATGAAAGCCTCTTGGGAAACACCTGTTTATGCAATAGAGATAGGGTTTAATCGGTGTTCTCTGCCTAATAACCTGGACAGGTGAATTGCAATGCTACTTAAAATGTACGTCATACATATATGAATGTCCTGATGTACTTTTGGTTGTGAGATGATCGTGAGGACAAAGATGTTTGCTTGGTCTTTTATTCTCTGTGCAAAAACAGGTCCTAATGTCAGACTGTTTGTCTGCAGAGTCATTATTCTAGCGGCATTTTACTCGATTTTGTACAATGTTGTAAACATCCGTGCTATCATCAGTATTTTGTAAGACCCATGTGTTCCATTTAGACAGATATTAATAAGACTATGACCTTTATTGTCTAGACACAAGAGTTCTCTTAAATGGACAGACCATCCATTCAGAAGAGTAGGTGTTTGGAAAAAAAGGCAGGAGAGAATTACTGGAGGAATTGTACCACAATTTCCTATAAGTAAGTGAAAATAAATGTTTATGTTTGAATAGAGAGAATAAATGAAAATTAGAAAGACGCAAAGCAATGAAGTGTATCGAGAAGGTTTGGGGCAGCCAGCAAGTTGAGTTCTGTAGTTGAACCTGTTAGTTTTAAGTGAACAGTTTTGCATAACGCAGATTTTAGTTATTTTGACATTTTAGTCTTTTCTGTTACAGACACCTTAATTTTGAGATTGTATGAAATGTGAATAAGAGAGCAATTGGAGAGCTCCTGAAAAGGAGAGGCTTTTTTTCAGGAATAAATGATGAGGGGGGATTTAAATGAAGAAAATTTAAATATGATGAAATCAGGGCTGATGGTTTAAAGAGATATTACAGTAAGTGAAGCATTGAAGAGCATGCCTCTGAAATAGTTACAGATCATACTGATTTGACAGTGTTTTTTCTTATAGTCCATCTGCACCAACACAGATTTTTAGTTCTGGTAAGTTTATCCTTTGTGAAAGCAAAAGAATTCTCAATCCTTCAGTGGATGAAGAATAATTTTGTTTAAAGTGACTTTGTTTTCACATGGATGATCTTTGCAACAAGGAATAGAGATTTGCAAAATGTCAGCTCTGAGTTCTTTTAACCTTTTTTAATGGGGAGGAGAAGGAGAGGATTTGATGAGTTGGTAGCGCAAAGTAGGAGAATAATTTTCCTTGTGTAATTTACCTGCACATCAGCTCAGTTTCGGAAATCATAAAATCATTTTCAGTTTATGAGCTGTTTTCTCTGCCTTGCAGCTGGACATCTCGCAGAGACTGAGGGGCTGGGAGACTCCTGCAACAGTAGTGGGCATGGAGAAAACCAAGTATTATTTCCTTGACAAATTTAGAGATACTGGCTGCTTCATAAATTGCTGGGAAATCCCTGTTATGGTTTGAAACTGCAGCAATTATGACCCAGTAAGGACTGGCTTAATGTGGGCTCCACCAGCGCATGTCAGAAGCTACTGTATCTCTTTCCATGGCAGATGTTCCTCATGAATTACAAGGTTCTAAAGACAACTGAAATCAACAGAGGCTTTAATTCAGGACACAGGTCTGCTGGTACACTGTTTGCTGAAGCATTGTCACAGAAAAGCTTCTTAGGAATTAATTTGATGTATTTGTGGCCAGTGTTGTGGATTTAACATTGACAGTCTTGGTTTTTGCTGCTTGCCTAACAGTTTCTTTCTAAGGACATGTCCTTGGTGAAAACAGACCAAATTTGTGTAACTACTCAAGTTGGAGAAAGCCTCTAACTTACAACTGAGCACTTACTTTGCCTTTTATAAAAGCCTGATGGAAGAAGGTAATCTCAGAAGACTCCTCAGTAAGGGGGAGTACTAAGTATGTTGTATGTTCCTACCAGGACCATGATAGGATGTGGGTTAACATGCAGACCTACAGAAATGTGATGTTTTCATTTTAATTCATTGCTATTTAAATGCAGTACAAGTGTGTGTGCAGTGTTTCTGGTGACTTAATACTCCTTCCTTCAGGGCGTAGTTGCATCAGATGGGCTGGTGGATGAAACTTGTTTTTGCAGAAGGCAGGCTAAAGGGCAAATAGTCTCCAATCATGAAATTAATAGACCATTCTCTGTGATGTTTGCTTTCTACATAAATGTTCCAGCACAGGCACCAATAGGAAAAACAACTGCATGCCTATATTAATTTAATTTGTGAGTAGTGTTGATTATACATTCTGCTGAAGACACTAGATGCTTTGGACTTAGCACCTGTTGTTGTGGTTTGGAGGACAGATACTGACTGTTCTTTGGCCTTGCTGCTGTCTGCTTGTGCAGTGCTGAACAAATCACATAACCTTTTGCTACTATTATTTCTTGATCTACTAATGAGAGCTAGTGCCCTTTATCCACCTGTCATGATTTGCTCTGAGATACCCTGTTAAAATCTAGAGTTCAGGTGTTTTCTATTGCTGGTCCTTGCTATTCAGGAAGTAAATAACACAAATGGATACGGTCATCCACTTTGACATTACGTGGGTTTTGAAGTTGTTTGGATGGCTATGATTTTAGATGGCTTACATTCCTCCTGCTACCGTACATTAGCACAGCTTCTGGACTCTGTATCCTAACCTGTGTGTATTAATTTGCTTCCAATTCATCTTGTTACAGTTCTGCAAGTAACTTTTTCCCTGGCCCTTGTTGCACAATTGTTGCAATGTCTCCCATCTGTATGAATATTAAACAGTGAATTTAACATTGAGTCCTTGAATGTTCTCCAAAACTGGCATCTATAGATGTGGCCTTCTCTGCAGTAATTCCAGTCTTTATGGCTGTGCTACGAAATCTTAAGGTACCTGAGGTGACTCGCTCTTGGGTGGTGCCTGCTTTACTATCTCTTAGAAAAGGCACTAGGATGCCTAAATATGGGGATTCTGCATTTAAATGTCTACATTAGCTAGAGATCAGTCCTTCTTCCCCACTCTCTTTAGTCACTCACACTTGTTTTGAGGACTATATTTCTCCAGCCTAAATTGCAAAGCTTGCACCTTTTTTTTTTAATTTTGTTTTCTGGTTGCAGTGCATTTGCTTGCCAGGTTGGTTGGCTAAGGCCAGAGATGTTGATCAAGGAGAGGTTGCCAAAAGCTCTGTTCAGCCCCAGCCCTTTCTCTTCCAAAAAGAACCTCTATCTGCATTTTGTCACCGCCACCAAAGAAAAGCCACTGTGATTTTTATTAAAACAATCTGCTCCTGTTCCTCCAGGACATGGTAGCTTATGTTCTGTATGCTGTTTGGTTACATCATAAAGTGTCTGTGAAGAGCACCAGTGGAAATTTTGCATACTCTGGGGGGATAGGGCTTGAATATGTGAATTGACATAGACCACAGTGAGGTCTTGAAAAATTTCATCATCTATCAGGAATTTAATTAAATGTTCCCTCAACCTGATGTAATTGTATATTCTGTAGAAAGTCAGTCCTGGTGTTCGGAGGTCTAGTCCCCTAGTGTAGGAGGGCATTGTGTCTAGCACAGCGGTGAAGTGTGGGGTCAACAAGACAGCTCTTGTCTATTTTGAGTTTAATTTGCTGAGATCCGGGGAGATGGAGATCATGCAGGACTATTGTTATCATCTATATATATGATATGCTTTCATATGTAACTATGTATTTTTATTTATATTTATATGTAACTGTACTAAAGTTTGTTCTAGTTATACGGTGACATTGCCCCAGATTGCTTTAATTACCAGCATAAATATCAGGACAACTTCCATGAATGTGACTGACAAGGGATTCCAGAAGAGAGACCTGGTCTTTCCTTAACAGTTTTTCAGCATGGTCTAGTAGGTAACTAAACCCCCCAGGATCTTCCTCATTTCTACTGATTTAAGCTTGGGCTAGGCTGGCACACACTGCAATTCTGAACTTGTTCCAGTTTCTTACTACTCTGCATTGTGTTCTGTAGAAGCTGTTCTGCCAGGGCTAATTAACGAGATAGAGATTTTTGAAGCCTTTTCCACACTCTGAACTGTACCCTGATAGCCTGCTTAACTGGGATTAATCTTCTAGCATTTTAATAATTTTAGATGACGCTCATGAATTCCTGTGGGCTGCTGTTAGAGATTGGATATGAAAGAAGGTACCTTGGCTTAATAACCAAACAAATAAAAGCTGGTAATACAGTTGTTGGTAAGATAGCTCTGGGAGTAGACTCCGGGACACTTGCCTTCCATTTCCATGTCTTAACCACTGCAGCACTGTTTTTCTTACGGATGTATCATTGGATCATTTTTACTTCTGTTAGGCAGTTCAGACAGAAATATCACATACCTGATGTCCTTTAATGTGCTCTTGGATGAAAGTGCATATTGTCTGAAATACAAGTTAATAAAAAACATAGCAAGGAAAAAGTTCTTTATGAAACATTTAAAGACGGGGCTCTGAGCAACCTGGTCTAGTGGAAGGTATCCCTGCCTACGGGAGCGTGGGGTTGGACTGAATGGCCTTTAAAGGTCCTTTTCAACCCAAACCATTCTATGATTCTGTGCTAGTACTGTGCAGTTGCAAAGCTACCCATACATGTGACCAGAGCCAGCTGTTCCAGATGGGAAGAACTTTAATCTTTGTCTTCAGTGAGGGCTGATCCTAGAACCTGCTGCCAGCAAGCAATATGAAACTCAGCATACGTTGTTGCATGACATTTTAAGGGGAAGGATGAAGAAAGGGGTGGGATTAAAACCCAGTGATCATGTAACTGAAATACAGAAGAGAAGATGCTCAGCTAAAGGGAAGAAACTACAGCAGTGTTCCAAAGCAGCATTTTTTCTTCAATGGGATGAGTAACAAATGAACTAATTGATTAGTTCCAGGGAAAGGACTTTTCTTTCTAATGACTTCTGTTCAAGCTTCTTGTTAACGTTGATGAGAGACTCCCTGAAGGCCCAAGGAGACTATCAAGCTCTGCGTTTTTGCTCATACACCACATTTGGCACAGTGGTAATTTCTGGAGGAAGGCAGCCTTTATCTTTTAACTCAGAACAGCAAGCAGCTCTTTTCCATTACAGCAAGCCTGATGTCTGGCGGAGCACATGACAGCTTTTGTTCCGTGCACGTGCAAGTACCTTTCCCAAAGAGTATCTTTCCTAAAGAGCAGTGTGCCGCCGGAGGCAGCAGCTGGGAGGGAGGCACTTCCCAAGCAAGGCTGCCTGGGAGCTCTGACACGGCCATCCTTTGCAGACCTGGGGGAGAGCCAGTGCACTGTCACTGTCCTTTGAGTGAGGGCACTTTCTTTTGTGCTTTGAACTAGGCTTGCTCTCAGTTCGTTTCTCTCCTGAGATTTTCGAGGCTCTTGCTCTCCCTCCAGCGGCAGGAAGCAGCTCCACACTCACCGGAGCGACTTGCCGCTGCTATGAGGGTCAAAGCCATCTTCATTCCTGTCATGTTTTCTCACTTGTCCCCTACTGATAAATTCAGACTGTGTCCTTGCTACCACAGAAACTGGGACCTCCAAGGGTGAGCCTGAATTTGCCATTAGTGGAGAGTGTATTCCTGCTGACCAGTCAACTCCTGCCAGTGCCTGTTCACTGCCTGCTGCTTTCAGGGCTGGAATGGCTGGGATATCACCTCTGTGCTGTATTTAGGATAGCCTTAATCAGCATCAGCAATTACTCTTTTTATTTTTCCAAACACATGAGTTCATTTCAAGAGACCTGAGATTCATTTCTATAGTGTGTCCTGTGTTGGAGAGAATGAAGAGGAAGAAAATACCTTTCAAAAATGTTTTCAGATAAACATTTCAATGCGGGTATGTGCAATCCTTTCTCTCCCAGACTTTAGTTTAATCCCTTTTCCCTGAACAAATAGGTGTCCTCTGGCAAGGAACTGATGCGTGGCTGTAAATAGGCAGTGTTTTTATTATCCAGTTAATCTCCGTTTATTATCACACATTCAACAAACAGCAGACTCCCCTACTTGTTTGTCTGTTCACAGGAAGAAATTTTATCTTAGTCAGTGGATTATGGTAAAGGCTGAGTGAATCACTGTGCAGCAACACGGTCAGCCCTTTCAGGGTTATTCAAACAATGGGACTGACCAGCCAGCCAGATAAAATGTTTAATGCTCTAGATTGTCAGGATCATCAATTTAGTATTCATGTCTCTCTATAGCACTACCTAAAGCCAGCATTTAAATGGAGCTAGAGGTTACATCAATGTAGCAGCTGGGCTTTGAGCATGTGGTGACTGCAATACACAGTGTTTTGAACTGTGAGGCTGAATTCAGGGTTCCTCTGAATCACTGTGTCAACACTTTTCAAATGCAATAAACCTTACCCAACAGGCTGAGGATGCAACATACCTCTTTCTGTCAGGGTTATAAGCTGCAACCTACAGTAAGTCAGTGACTGCAGGTAACACAACAATGAAGTACCTTGTTCAGAATGTTTTCTCAGTTGCTGCAGGTGTCTGAAATTAACTTCTGCCTTTCCCTGGAATCCATTGCACTTCACATCCCTTGTGCTGCTGCATTGCTTTCATCTCCAAATACCCTTCCCCTCCTCCCTGCCTCTGGTCTTGTTGGGGTCATCTGTGTCCATGCTCCAGCAGGCTGAGTTTCTGTATCTTTTTTTTTTTTTCTCATTAATGAAGCACAGGCTTTGTATGCAACTGCCATTAACAATAAGTGCTGTACAAGGGCTGCACTTGTGCTTGGCTCAACAAGGTTCCTGAATTGTTTTTCCCAAGATTCTACTATGAAAGTCAGGACTGGTCTTCCTCAAAATAGTCACTACTGACCAGTAGCACGTTCCTCCTGCTGAGAGTCACAGCAGCTGCAGCTGCACCCAGATGCTTGATTTACCCAAAGCCATTGTCTAATCCAGTGTTTTTGCTGCCCCGGGTCAACGTCCCTGACTTTGCTGATGTCTCAGACAACACTTCCATTCTGTGCTGGATGCTCAGCAGACATGAGTTTGTCTTGGAACACAATTGTTTAAACCCCACATTTCTTCCTCAGCTGAGGTATCTCTGTGGCTCCTCTACCGTGTGTTACTACTCATTTTGCTAGGGGTTGGTTTACAGGGACTGTCCTGGCATAACAAGGGGAAGAAATAGCCTGGTGCATGGCAAATTTGAGGCACTGGGTGAATATATTCATTTGAACGTTTGCTCTCATAGTGATTTGGCTGCTAATTCTGATGTATTTGGGGGGGGAAGGGGAGGGGAGGTGTGACGCATTCCTGCTTTTCTGCCATGTAAAGTTTCAAGCTACAGCGATTACAGATTACGAGATACTGCGGTGTTATATTTACTTACATTACTGATGTCTTGGACTACTGTTCTCTTATAAGCAAAATCAGTAATAATTTTAGTGCAAGGAATGAATGTCAAGGTAAGGCACAGTCTGAATAAAGAAAAAATTAAGAGTTGAGAAAATTAAGAGTTGAGAAGAGAGCCTCCATGAGCATGGACAACTACCAGACTGCATTTGTTGTGCTGCTGGGCGGTCAGTGCCGCTGCTTGGAAAATGTGTGTATATGAAAACCTTTCCTTGGTGGTGCTGCAGGCTGACCTCCTAAGCATCACATCTGAACGTATAGCCCTTGTCTTGTGGTAAAAGCAAGCAAACCTTTTAAAAGACAGCACTGTTCCAATGCTGGCAAATTGTTTGGGTCCTTATTGCTCTTGTATTCCTTTTCTATCTAGCGAGATGTGTGTCCTGCCAGAACAGGGAAGTTATCAGTTCTGGAGTATTCAACAAGATAGTGTGCATGTTTGTAGCTCTGAGGAAAATGCCTGAAGGTATTTTTTCTCTGACACAAGTATCAAGGATCTATTTCTGGCACTGTAAATAGTGTGTTTGGATCTTTGGTACTTCAAATCTTCATCGCTGCAAGAGCTAGCAGGTTTTCCTCTAATAAGAGGATTAGGATCAGTTCAATCAATTGGGCTGGTGTAGGGGATCCAAGGTAAACAAACAATCTCAGGGTTGGTAGGATCTTCGGTAGGAGGTGTGGGAGGTATTTTTGTACACAGATTTCATTTTGTCCTTTGGAAGGCTGACTCAGAAATTGACAGTAGGAAAATACCTCTTCCCTTGGACCAGCAGTGACGAGTATTTTTCAGAAGAGCTGGGATTTCTTCTGTACCTCTCTTAGTACACTTATGATGTCCAAATAAAATGCTTATAGGGTTTTCAAGCTCCTTAGTTAATAATAGAGACAATGAGTAAGTAGCTTCACTGTTGTTGTTAGAAATGAGTCTAAGACAATCCAGAAGGCCACTCCACATAATTAATGCCAAAATAGCAGTTGATGCAAGCTGAGCTTAATTATGTATGCCTACTGGAATACACAGTGGCTGAATTTTCAAGTGTAGCTAAATGATTCAGCAACAAATGTTTGTGGACAGTTTTTTGTACTTCATCTGTGGTCTTTTAAGGGTACTTAGATATGTAATGATGCCGATAGGCACCAGATTTATAGGTACCTTTGAAATACTTGACCCTGTGAGAATTCTTGTGTTTAACAAGAAAAGCATAGAGAAATATGAGAGAAAAAATGTTCTTTTTGTCAGTGTACCATTGTGAACAACAAAAAGTTTAGCCACAGTGGCAGCTTTTGAAGAGACTTAAAAGAGCCTCGCATGGGGACTTTAGTGGTAGAATCCCAGGTAAGAGCTCTGAACTCTGCTAGTACAGCTGTTTCAAAACTTGAGCAAAGAGCAGCAGAAAACCACCTTCTGCGTGCAGAAGTATCCCTGAGAAATGTTAAAAGCTAGTGACTACAATATTTGGTAGTTTCTGCACTAAATACTTTAAAGAAACTTCCCCCTTTTCTTCATACAGTTTTGAAGTGTAAGGCCGTTACATTAGTTTATTCCTAATATAGTGACACTTTTTCTTTGTTCTGTAGATTCAACCAGTTATTGATGAAGTCTTCTCTTTTTCTGAAGTTCCAAAGGCCTTTCTGAAATTGGAAGGAGGACATGCACGTGGAAAAACGGTGATCAATGTAATTAGTAAACAATAAAGTATCTCTAATAATTATTCTGCTTGCAGTCACAGTCCTTGAACATAAATTGGTGTGTAGCAACTGTTTCTTCTTTAAAAGCTTGTCTAGAATGCGTAACTTATAAAAAAGTCTTGTTTTAGAAAAGCCTCTGATTCTTTTATACACTGCCTGTTAATTGGCAGACAAGATATACTAATGTCCCTTAGGCATTTCTACATGAAAACTATGTTAAGAGTGTAGTTGTGACTTTTGCAGAACACCCTTCACTCCTGGAATAAGAGGAACAGTCTGAAGCATTTTTGGATTGTAGCTCTTGGAGCTTTTATTTTTCAGATATCTTAGGGTGGTGAGGCACACTCTTATCTAGTTGTCCCCATGAAACCTGTGTTGGTTTCCCTCGGCCTTTCCTACTTCTGTTCGCCTCTATTAGTATATATTATTACTCAGTTTAGTAGATTCTCGGAACTAAGTGGTCACATCACTGTCTCAAGACTGATAGTTTAATCTTGATATGGCAACTCTCTCTTGGCATAACTAATCCAAATAGAAGCAGGGAACAAAATCAATCTGTAACTGATAATTATCCTAACAGCCCAATTCCTGGCTCCGATTCAGCTGACTGCAGTGTTTATGCAGGTAGGCTAGACATGATTTTGTCAGCAGCTGGGAGCTGTTCCTGTCATGCCCTGTTACTCCTGGTGGGGGTGAAGTGCTTGGGGGGGGGAGTGTCTGGTGGTCTGTTTATAAACTTGCTGTTTTGCCAGCGATGGGGGGTGGAGTAACTTCCCCTGCAGTTATGCAGGTAAGATTGCAGGAAAAGTGGCAACCTCTTAGCTGAGAGCAGCACATTTACTGCAGTGCAGCTATGGTGGTGGACAAACCACGTCATGCAACACTTACACCAGAGGAGGAAAGAAGTGGCTGTGGTGTGAACTGTGGCCCCGTGCACAAATGGCACTGAGCACGTGCTAGTATAGAAGAATTGTCCATTCCTCAAGAACCTCCAGCTATTCTACACCATGTATTCTCTCATTAGCTAGCTGTCACAGAGGAATTATGGACAGAAACAGGCACAAGATGGAACAAAGCTAACCATAAAATGCCAGCTTTCTACTTTCAAAATTAAAAGTTACTTTCAATTAAAAGTTACCTAACTTAAATTTATTTGTAAAATGCTATATTATATATAGCAAGAGCACATCAATATGACAAAGTACCACTGTTTGGAACCACTAACAACATATTTTCTACAAAGAACTATAAGCAGCACATTTCAGAGCAACAAAACTTCAGTGCTTCTTTACAAAAGTAGGAAAATTAATAAGGCACTTCCTCTAGGGTGGTAATGATAAAAGCACCAGCATCCTTTGAGGGAATACGACAGTAACAAAAATGTTAAACAGACTTACTATGCAAGACAAAGGCCTGGATGCTCCTGGGAGCAGCTTGTAATAACGCTGGTCTAAGCCAGAACAAAACACAGCAGCACAGTACAAGGCTTCGTTTGTATTTTACCTTTTTGTCAATATTATTAAGGAAAACTAACACAACCAGGTTCAAAGCAGGGCAACAGAAGGACCTCCTGCAGTCATCAGGATGTCCTACCTGTCACAAGCTCTTTACTATACCAGTAACACTTACACTGAATGGGCACAGCCACAAGGGCTGTGCCCATATTCCAGGCTTGGCTATGCACCTTCCTAGAGCAGTCTGACGCTTCTGTCCAACCAGGAGCCAGCAGCTGACCACAGACACTGCTCTCCAACACCAGAAATAGTGGGGAGTCTGGCACTCTCCACTGTAAGCCCAACAGGCTGAAAAACTCAGTAACCACAGCACTTATGTGCTGTTGCAGTCTTCTTTAGTGATGCTTTCCCTAAGAATTCTAGTTGTCTATATGATTTTGGAGTTCAGGAACACTGTATGTACTTACTGAAACTATTTTAAAAGGTACAAATTTGATTTGGCAAAGAAGAAAAATACCCATAACTCGGAAAAGTTAGGCAGCCTACAAAGTAGGCAAAAATTCTTCAGATTCCGATACATCCTTTTGCCAGCCCTTTTTCTAATGAACTCCTTTACACTGTCTACACATGAGAAAATCTAGAATTTTTTCTTAATTTAGGAGTTACTATATTAGCATACTAACTATACACCTGAAGCCACATGTTAAAAATTCTTTGGATGTGCTGTGCTAGCAGTCTTTCAGCTTTCAGTAAACATAAGTTTATTCCAGTTAAATATATTAATTTTCTGTAGTGAATATTTCTCTATACTACAGCCCATAGATTCAAATTGCTATGCCCACATATACATTTGCACTCCTGTCCTTTATAAAATAAGCTTTAATATTTTTAGCCCCTCTCTCAGTTAAAAAAAAATCCTTTAAAAATAATTTAAAGTTACACTAATTGACTATTCTGGGTTAACTACTCACTGACAAAACTGTAAAACTCCATGGGATCTCTCCCACCTTTAGCTCTTCCATTCTAGCCCAAAGCATACTATCACTCTCTAGTCAACACTGAGTTGTGTTGATTAAAAAAAAAGAAGTTTAGACATGCTCAAGCTTTTGTAGGGATAATAATCTTGGATAGGGAGGTGAAATAATTCTGTTGCTCTTCCTATTTAAAACTGTGAATAAAAGATGTTGATCCTGTGTTCTTCAGAGATGGCAGTGCAATTCCAGTGTCCAGAGTAGTGGCCAGTTGAAACATCATCCTTCGCTTCTTTGGGTTTATACAACTAGTGGCTCCCAACACTGTGTTAACTTTTCCTCGTTGACTGTGTTGACAACAACATGGTCGCAATCATACTGTGTGCCTCCTGTAAAGAGAAATTTCAAAGAGGGTAGGTTGTCTTTGAAACTAGAGACAAATACTCTGTGTTTCAGAAAAAAAATCTAGCAAGAGCTGGTGTAGAGAGTTTCTCTTCACCTCGAGGCACTGAGAAGACAGACGTGTTTTCATCACTGCCTGCTTTTGGAATCAATTTTGAAACAATTTTTGAATTAATCAGGATCGGTCTGCCTGATCTCTCCACCCCTTCAGTAATTCAGTTCCTTGGCTTTTTCAGCCTGGGTGGGAAAGGAAAGGAACACTGCAATGCAGCCAGGTGTAGCTCCTTTAAGACTGTCATTTCCCAGAAGTCACACTTGGCAGTTTGGTTTCCCCACAACAGTTGTCAGTTGTGACTCCACTCTAAAAATGATGTTTACATGATGAAGTAAGTCCTGCTGCTAACAGACAATACATGTGTGATCACGTCAGCGACAAGGTCTACCACTCATCTACTCTTTGCCACTATAATCCTTTATTTGACCAGCTGCATGCACAGAGTATCACCCCACATTCAGCTGTTTCCACTGGCAGCAAAACATATCTGAATGCAAAATAGAACCCCTTCTTAGAGGAGCTTAATTTAATTACGTGATGCAATGCCAAACATGTTCCCATAAGAAGAGCGCTATTAATATTCTGACTTAAGAAACTCAGAAGCAAAGAAACATTCAACTAGAGCTGAAAGTCAGAACTGACATTTTTCCCTCGGATCTGCTATGTACTGCAGAAGCACAGGACACGTGCATCTCCTGTGCTACAACACACCTGCAACAGCAGGTAGTATTCCCATTGGAAGCACCCATCTGAGCCAACCATTTTATACAAATGGATACACCCACAGACACTGTCTTTTGTTCTGCACACCAACTGCCTCACCCTCCCCTGAATGAGCAAAAGACAAGCCTGGCAGCTGAAAGTTTATGGTGAGTAACAAATATGGATTCTAGCAGACCTCATAAAGAAATATACTATGCACCTGAAGTCCTACATGAGCAGGCACATTTAAGAACAGCTCTTCTATACTAAAGTGACTCAAGCTCAGCTGTTCTCCACTTCAGGAATTTGGGGGATGCTTTCTGGTGCCACTGTCCCAAATCAGGAGGGTCTCTGGGAAGGCTAACAAAGAGGATTTCTCTCCTTGCCACTACCAGGCAATTACTAAAAAGCAGTAGAGATATACAACTTGCAAAATTCTTCAGAAAGGGGGGAA